ATCAAGCACGTCATTATTTAAAGTTCACCCTATTTTAGATTTTCGTTTTTTTTTTTTTAAATCTTTTCCCCTGCATTTCTTCTTTTTTTGTTAAAGCCTTGGTCGTTAATGCTAAAATTACATGATCTCTTTTCGCAACGCAATAAATAAGTCTAACAGTTTCTCTCGATATCCGTCTTTTAAGTCATTTATCTCATATCTATAAGCAAGGGGGTCCGCGTTCACTATTAAGCCTACGCCCGTCCATTCCTTTCAAACTTGATCCCGCCCTTAGACTCGTTACGCTGTTCGACTGAACTCGTTGGTTCCGCACTCTATTCAGTTGGAACCCGGTTCGAGAACCTTCTCTCATAGATTCCATTCACCAAACTGAAGAAACTTGTTAGTTTTGAGAAATAGTTAGTTCAAAAAATATTTAAAAGTTTGAATAGTAATTTGGAAAACACTTTTTTTTAAAAATTAATTGGCCTGCCTTGTTGTAGCATATCCAATGTGAAATTAATGTGTCAATGTCAATTTTTTTCTTTAATATTATTGTAGGAAAACTAATTTTTAATCATGTAAATTTGTTTTTTGGGCTAAATTTGCCCTATGTTCTATACGATACCAAATTTCGCACGAAACATACCTATGTCAAATTCTTACATTTGATTGTAATTTGTTGTTGTGTATTTACAGCATTCTCATTTTTAAATTATTTAAAATTAAAAATTCACTTGTATAACTTCCAAAATTTAATTATAATGACAAAATATTGATAAACATTACTATCTCTAACTGAAATGTCAATATCAATACTATATTTGTCATTAGAAAAATGTAAAAAAACATTCAATGAAATATCACTCTCTTTGTCACTCTCTATCTTCTCCTTTTGTCATTTGTCTTTTTATTTTTCTCTAAAAACGAAATAAAATTCTAAACTATCATTTTGCTATTTATTACAACTATTTATTACAACTATATATATTCACGTTAGAAACCAATTCGTTGGAATAAAAAAAAAATGGAAAGCTACGCACTTATTTATTTTTATTGGTTTTTTTGTTCAAATAAGAACACCTTTTTTTTTTTTTAATTTTTATTTACACGGTTTGTTTATTTAAAAAGAAAACATAGAAACGAAAAACGTGCAAGAACAAACCTTAAAACAAGGTTAATTTTAGTTAAAGACGTTAGAGAGTTTAGCTATAGAATAAATTGGTAACAAAATGGGTATTTGGGTATATGTCGTGCGAATAATCAGCGTCCCCCACTAAGAATTTGGCTAAAATAACCGAGTAAAAAAGTAAAATTAAGAAAATGACTTTTTAATTTTAATTTTATTTATTTTATTACCATAGCCCATCGCCCAGTCGCGGAGCCCCCTCCTTCTCTCGCCGACATGAGCAAGAAGAACTCTCCATTGCGGAAGAAAGCCCTCGAAGGCCTGGTTCAATTCATAACGAAAAGTTGGGAGTCCAACACGATTGGGAGGTGGCTTGATCGGGGACGGCACGATTGCGATGGCTGGGTTCGCGAGGTGGGCGTCGCAAGTGGCTAGAGTTCTCAAAGTGGGTGGCGCGATTGGCTGGGGTTCTCGAAGTGGGCGGCGTGATAGGGATGGGGCTTGGCTGGGTTTGCTTAGGTGCAATGGGTCGCGGGTGGGGATAGGGATAGTCGGCGGGATCTCCGGTAGGGATGGGCGGCGGGCTCACATGTTTGGCCATGAAAACATGAAAATTGATTAGGGGGTTTTGGGTTCCTTTTTTTTCGTTTTTCTTTTTTCTCAAAAAATCATTTTGCAAAAAAAAAAAATTTGAATTGTTATTTTATGAATAAAGTTTGTCTATTAAATTATTTTTACAAAGGCCTCTCCCCCACTCCAGAAGAATTAAGGCCTGTTCATTTCGCCGATTCGAGTTTAGAATTTGAGTTTTGCTACAGTAAAAAGTTCTCAGAAACAATCACATCTAACTTTTTGCTACAGTAAAAAGCTTTCACATAAAATCACATCTCAACTCGAATTACAAATTCGAATCAACGAAGTGAACGGGCCCTTAGAAGTTTTATTGGATATTTTTATGACTTAGTAATTCGACGGTTTTTTTTTTTTTTTGATTAAAATCTTGGCTTCATCATTGATCGGTCTTTTTCTTTACATGGGTCGGAGTTGGAGTCATCCAACATCAAGGTCAGGCTCCGAATTATTTCAATTTCGCCCGGACAAAGAAAAAAGAAAGAAAAAAAATGACCAAATCCCTAGGTATTTTTAGTCCCAAAATAACCCCGTACATTTCACTAATTCGAGTTTAAAATTTAAGTTTTGCTATTGTAAAAAGTTCTTAGAAACAGTCACATCTAACTTTTTTACTACAGTAAAAAAGTTCTCACATAAAGTCACATCTCAACTCAAATCAACGAATTAAATGGACCCACATTTTTTTGTTTGGTATTTTCTTTTTTAACATTATTCAATACGCTAATATATCGGTAAGTCAAATTTTTTATCCGTTAAATCTATATAAAATTACATAAAAATTAAAAAATATATAAATTTAACGATTAAAAAAATATGACTTATTAGTATGAACGTCATGCTTACGGGAGACTCTCTCTCTCTTTCTTTCTTTCTTTCTTTCTTTTTAATGAAAAGTTTAAAAGAAAAGGTTGGCCCTTTTATCTTAACTGTGGTGCGGACCAAGTCACCAGCGAAGAAGACCACGCGGCAATGAAGACAAAGAAACACATTCCTTGTGACTGCAGCAAATTGGAGCTGACTGTAATTTAAAAAAAAAAAAAAAAAAAAAAAAGATAGTGGCTTGTAGTTATCAAATATCAAACATCAATACGTTTCAGTAAAATTACAATATATTCCAATAATATTTTGCATTATCAACATATTTCATGAATTAATAAAAAAATTAGAAATAATCCTTGTTTTGAATATTTTGTAGTGTCTTTATTATGTCATAATTATTACAAGAAATTATAATATAAACTATTACGATTATTGATAATTACTTTGATTATAAGAAGAAACTGACGTGATAGTAACTGAAAGGAAATAATCAAAATCAGTCCTATTCTTGAAATAGTTATTCATTTAGTGCAGTAAGAAAATGAACCCTAAAATCTCATTTTTCAAACATTACACAAAGGAAAAAAAAAAAAAAAAAAAAAAAAAAACTTAAGAGCCATAAAAACTTAGCTGCCATTTGACAAATAAAGCAAAATCGCTTTCAAGTCCTATTTAGGGACTGAAAAAAATAAGAACGTGTCCATGTAAAAAATAAATAAAATGTATTACAGTCTCTTTCAAATATATATTTAACTTTAGAAGTTAAAAAAAAAAAAAAAATTTGGAGAGTGGGGGGCAGAAGGGGGCCCAAATCCATGATGAAATGCATGCCATTCTCGGAGGACCCATTAATGAAGGGGAATGAAAGCGCATTTGACCGTCTTTTACTTTCGGTGAGAGTTTTGAAACATCTTAAGCGTCACGGCGATAGGATAGAGAGCAAAGTATTTGATTAGACCGGGGACAAAATGTTATGTTTTGTGTCGTGTGGAAATGAATACGACTTCCTTTCTTTTTTTTTTTTTTCATCTTGTTCATCTTTACGACAAAATTCATCATGGGTGTCCCGGATCTTTGTCTAATTCACTTGTGCTTCAGCATTATTATTTCTATCTTCTTATTCCTTTTCCTTTTTCTCCCATTTGTTTGGAACAGTTCCTTTAATTAATTCTCTCTTTCACTTTCCTTTATTTCAAAATCCCCTTTTAAAATATTCTCAGTTGGGTTTTGCCTTTTTTTTTTTTTTTTTTTTTTTTTTTTTTTTTTTTTTTTTGGGGTCTTCTTGATTTGTTATGGTAAAGAAGTAAGCAACGTAGGCCTAGAAATTCAACTTTGATTTGCAAATCAATGTATTAATTAAAAATTTATAAATTTGCAACAGGAAGGAAAATAAAAATAAAAAAAAACCCATTTAAGTAAGGGAGAGGTTAGGGATTAGGCACGGTTAGATGCAAATTTCGAAGAGAAGCACATTCTTTGGTGTTGGTAATCTTAAAAGTAGGATTGCATTGAAAGAGCTTTTAATCCTTGAAAACTTCAAAGATCCCAAGCTAGGAGACTAGGTCCACGTTGAACAATATAAAAATTAAAAAATAAAATAAAATAAAATAAAGGTGTCAAAAAAAAAAAGGGGGTAAGAAGCCAATAAATCCCACGGACCATAATTATGTGAATGGCTAGTAACATGTTAACTAATCATCAACCAAAGTGGAAAAGTAATTCCCTAGACTTTTTTTTAATTAAAAAAAAGTAATTCTCTCCCTAATAGAGAAACGCTTTGTTGTTTAAAAATAAATTGAGAAATTTCGGACAGTATAAAAAAGAACACTATTTAGATCAAATGTTTGTTAAATCGGTTAATTTTATTTATTTTGTTATTTTGATGTCATTTTAATCAAATTAAACATGGATATAATAGCTTTACCTCAACTTCCTTTATATTTTTAATTTTATTATTCATTTCAATTTTCCGTGCTTAAAACAAAATTTAGATATAAAAAAGAACTTGCAAAATAAAATTGAGAGAGAGAAGAGGAAAAGATTATTAAAAAAAAAAAAAAAAAAAAAAACCCCTCTAACTCAAACCTTTTTCTGTTATTAGCCAAACTCAAACTTTATGATATAGAAACAGTCTTGAATCCAAAACCCCAGGAACCAAGTTGCCCCGGAATGTTGGCCTAGAGAGAGAAAACCGTAAATTTTAAGCATCTTGAGAACCATAACTCGACAATTTCCACACCATCTAGTTTTGTTGGTCTCCCAACCCACCGGCTCACAACAATTAACGCGCAGAACACAACAGAAGTTCCCAAGTATTTGCAAGCTCATTGCATATTTAATGCAAGCAGTTTTAATGATAGAAAAAAAAAAAAAAAAAAAGAAAAACTTTCTACTAATTGTTTCTTCTACATATCTTAGCACATTTCAGCCCCACAAAAAAAAAAAAAAAAACGTACAGTTCTCACCCAATAGTTCCAATTTCAACCAGATGAAAAAGAGAGACAGAGAACAACATCAACAATGACATTACATTTACACTATACCCTTTCTAAGCGTTACATCGTCAGAAAAGAAAAATTAAAAAAAAAAAAAAAGAGAGGGAGGTGCACTATTTGACTGAGATTAAAGTGTTTGAATTGGTTTTTATACACTGTAGATTGTTGAGAATAAGAATTATGGAGAACCAAAGCTTTAAAAAAAAAAAAAAGATGAAAATCCCCCGCAAAGATCAGTAAAAAGATAACCCACAAAAAAAAACCCCCAGAAATCGTTCGAGAAACATTATATAATCTAGACAAAAGAAATCTCCTAAAATATACCTGAAATTCTGACGAGTTTCAATAATCAGGCATGAGTTGACTGATCTTTCCCTCATCAAGAGCCATTTTTCTCTCCGTGATCTTCAACCAAATGCAAACCCCAGTGAAGCTGAGAACCAAGCTCGCGAACCCACTCCCCAATCCGATCCCAACAATCGCAAGCACCGAAAGCCCCTTGTTCTTGAGCGGCGGGGGCGGGGAGCCGCAC